GTTTAAAATTAGTGTAATGTTCTTTTTTTAGGGCTTCTAGGGCCTAAATGACATTTGATGGATAAATTAGTATCACAAGTCGGTTTGTTTAGTTATTTCGGGTGAACCGTGTGCAATTTTCTCGGATTTTAAGTCTAAAAGTAGATATATATTTATTATTATTATTATTATTGTTTAGCCATTTTAGAGCTAGAAATAAGTAATTATCACTTGTATTTTAACTGTCACCTTAGTAGATAATATTTTATATGAATATATGGACGTATTCTTCCATCAGTTTTTTTACATATTTTTTTATTAATATTTATAAAAATACAATATATACATATATTTACACAAAATATATATAATATATTATTTTTTATTTATTCAAAAAAATAAATAATTTATTATAATATATTATTTTTTATATAACCAACGCGCTTCTATATATATATATGACCTTTAAAAATACCTCTAATTCAAATCATAAACCAAACACACCCTACGTGTATATATTTTATTTTCTTATCGGAAAAATTGCAAAAAATATCTTGTACTGTATGTAGGTCCAATTATTATTTTCGAATACTTTTTTTTTTTCACTTTCGCAATTTAGGACATTATGTGTACTTCAGACATTATTTTTGCCCTCTGGCGCCGGAAAAACGCACCTGACCGTCATGTGCGCCTTCGTGGGATGACCGACGCATACGTAGACGCCATCGTTGCTGTGTTATCGTCCGTGTGGTCATCGGACATGTGACGTGGAATTATCTCTTTTTTTCTTTTTTCTTTGGCAATTTAGGACATTATGTGTACTCTAAGTATTATTTTTGTCATCTGGTTCCGAAAAAATAATTTGTTCTAAGGTCGTCGGATAGGTGACATAGAATTTTTTTTAAAAAAAAAAATTAATTTTTCCCAATTGAACCAAATTGCAAATAACCAATTGGACCAAATTAAAATAAAAATAAAAAAACTTGGAACATACTGTTTTTCCGGCACCGAATGACAAAAATAATACCCGACGTACACATAATGTCCTAAATTGCGAAAGTAAAAAAAATAATAATTCCACGTCACATGTCTAACGACCACCCGGATGACAACACAACAATGGCGGCATCCACGTACGCACCGGCCATGCCACGAAGGTGCACGGGACGGTCACGTGCGTTTTCCGGTTGAAGGGCTAAAATAATGTCCGAAGTACACACAATGTCCTCAATTGCGAAAGTGGAGAAAAAGTGTTCGAAAATGATAATTAGATCGGGCATTTTTTATAATTTTCCCTTTTTTATAATATTAATTGAAAATCATGTAAAAAAAATTGATAGAAGGATACATATTATAATTTCGATCTTTGCATATTTATTGTTAAAAAAAATCAAGAGAATAGATCGAATTTATATGTGAGAAACAAGAGAAAAAATATCGTGACGGAAAAACCAACTCAAGGCTGCCCAACATTCTGATAAGATATAACCCGCAAATACATATATGGATATATATATATCAACATTAATCAACGGTCCATATTAACCCAAAGTTAAATGGACGTACCAATAAGATCGTTTCTTGGGTAGGTATGTCAAATGGGGCGGGTTAGCCCCGGACCCGCTCTTAATGGGGCGGGTTCGGATCTAAATAATATGTTTCGGGGCGGATTGTGGATTTAAAATTTTAAATCTGGCCGGGTTCAGTGCGGATTACGGGTTTTACTAAAAATTCGCCCTAATTCGGACCCGAACCCGGATATTTTTTAAAATTATTATAACTAATATATGTGTACATTTATATAATAAAAATATATTATTTATTTACTTTAATAATTTTAAATATAAAATTCAATTAGACATTTGCTCCAAATAATTTTTTTAAATTATTATACCTAATATATGTATATTTATATAATAAAAATATATTATTTATTTATTTATCTTATTTTTATGGATCAATATTTAATTGTTTTTAAATTTTTTTTGTACTTTTAATGCTATTTGTTTTAATATTCGATTGTTAAAAAATATTTATTATTATATATTTTTAAAAAAAAATGGGTTTGCCGGGTTGGCCCCGAACCCTCCGGGGCGGGGCGGGTCTTGGGGCCGGGTGGAAGTGGGGCGGGTCTCGGGGCCTGCAGAACCTGTCCCGAACGCGCCCCGTTGACATCCCTGTTCTTGGGTTTAAATAGGTCACAGGTTGGGGTTGCTAAGATTTAGGTCGTGGCTTCAAGGTACGGGGAAAATTGTAAAAAGCATCCTACACGTATATCTCATTATCAATTTTGTCATGTATTTATCTCTCTGGCAAAATAATTATATCCTACATGTTTGTAAAAGTCGTTATTTATATCATTTAGCCGCGCGTGATTGCGCGTAAAGGTGCGTGGTGTGAATGTCACCCGCAGGCAAATGACATAAATAGCGACCTTTATTAACATGTAAGATATATTTTACGATGGAGATAAATATAGAACAAAAATGATAATAGAGTAAAAGCATTGAGATTTCTTTTGCAATTTTTTCAAGGTATGGGTATTAAATCCAATATATTCTTCACTTGTTTAATGGTCAGTGTCATGGAAGAATATGAAAAGTAATATAATTGCATCCATATATTTCATAATTCAAAATTTTCAAACATGAAACTTTGAAATAGATAATATTTTAGTTTTTTTTTTTTTTTTTTTTTTATGACGTGGGAATCCGCAATCGCTAGCTGAAAGTACACACTGGGTAAACCCCCGGCCAAACCTAATGCCTGCAAACCAATGTATCAATCCTATTTTTATCAATATAACCTGTCAATTGCTTTATATAACTTTTTTTCATTTAAATCTCTATGTAAAAAAAAATGTTATTATTATATCTATGTAAAAAAATTTAATATGTGAGAACATTTCGTTATAATTAACTCCCTTTTTTGAGTTTGCATCCAATCTTTCTTGGGGATTTTCGTTTGCGGATATATAATTAATAACTGTGTTTTTTTAACAGTTCGAACTTTTAGGTAAGACAGTCATTCTGCATCCGACATGGTATCAGAGCCTAGGCTAGGTGACTTACACCTGAGGGGGCGGTGTTGGGGACTCCCATTTGCAAATATATAATTAATGACTGCATTTTTCTAACGGTTCAAGCTTTTAGGTGAGACGGTCATTCAGCATCCGACAATCCTATTTTGCTATTTTCGTCTGTTCAAAAACAATAGTCTCATTTTCATATTTGGTAACTACCTTTCCACTTTTTTACAAAACTATCTCATATTTTCACAATAATTACATAAAAGTAATGGCATTTGTATCTATTGTTTTGGGACATATGGAGTAATATATTACTAGTTAGTTGAACACAATTGTTTGTATAATAGTATGTTTGTAATTTAAGTTACAAGTTAAAAAAAATTTGGTATTAGTGTATGATTATTTTTTTCAAAATAGAAAAGAATATTTTGAGGTGAGACAAAAAAAAATAATAATAATAATAATAAATATTTTGAATTGAGACAAACAAAAATGATAAAAAAAAAATATTTTGAATTGAGACGAAAAAAAATATATATATATAAGTAATATATGTTTATTGATAATTTTATGAAAAAAATAATACTCTTTCCTTCTTATAACAAGATATGTATTTACTATTTGCGTCATTATATTTAACATTAAAAATATTCTTATATTTTTATAATTTTTTTTTTTACAAATATCATTATATTAATATTATAAGACACTAATAGAGTATTTTTGTTATTTTTTATTGATTTGTAATATATTTTGATATAATAATTAATATTTAAAGATCAACACATAAAAAGTAAATAAATAGTTAATTACGGGACGGAGGGAGTGTTTGTAACTAAACACACCTTAAATTAAGATCTAAACAGGTAGAGCTAGCCCTAATTCATGAATTTAACTAATTAATAATATTATTACATCAAAGAATGGTAGCGTGTGCAAATGAGTGCCACTAATATGTGTTTATATATTTATATATGTATTTATATATATATGCCAACCCTTTTTCAAGAATGGGCAGCTGTAATCTTGATGCACAACTGCTCCCCAAATCCCAACATAAAACAACAAGATACATACATACATACATTATCTATATATATATATATATATAGAGAGAGAGAGAGATGGAGAGAGAGAGAGAGAGAGAGAGAGAGAGAGAGAGAGAAGAGCAAAGGCATATATATTGAGTGAAATGGTGAACCCTAGTTGATGAATTAAACAGTGCATGGAATTCCCCGAAAAGCACACCCAATTACTGTGTTACTTACTGTGCCACGTTCTCCATCAATAATTTAATTTAATACTAATAATTTGGGAGACTTTCGATATTATTATTATTATTATTATTATTATTATTATTAATTATTAATATTACGTGTATATATATGTTTTATGTGTGTGTGTAATAGAGATGTGGATTGAACTGTAGTTGTAGTGGTTGTTGTTGATGTTGGTTGTCTTTTTGGGAAATGGCCCTACCCCTCACCCCACCCCACCCCACCCTAACCCTCGAGCCCCGGTTGGACTTCTTCGTATGCCCTTTTTGTTTGGAGATCGAAGATTGATTTTTAGAGAGAGAGAGAGAGAGAGAGAGACAGAGAGAGAGGGGAACAAAAAGAATGTTGATTGTGGTTAAGTAGTGATCAAGAATTGAATTTGAATGAATTGTATGAATGTAGAGACGAGGACAGGAAAGGAAAGGGACAACACTATGCAGTGTATTAAATTCTTCTTACAGATGAGAGAGAGAGAGAGAGAGAGAGAGAGAGAGAGAGAGATGAGAGAGAGAGAGAGAGAGAGAGAGAGGGTCAAAGATGATGATCGACAAATCTCTGTACAAGAACGAGGGGGAAATGAACAATTTCACCTTTCTTTACCTTTTTCATGTTCATTTATTTATTTCGAATTAATTAATTAATTAATTATGCATCTTCTTAACATCCACCACAAATTAAAAATTAAATTAAAAATTATAAACACAGCATTCATCACTTTCTCTCACAACATACCTATCCAAAAACCCCAATTCCATATCACAATATTTTCTCTCTCTCTCTCCCCAAAACATCAAACTGTGTCGTCGGAGGGAACATGGAAGACCAATACGGAATGCTCGATCTCCGCCACTACCTCACCGGAAAGCCATTATTCCGGCCGATTCACCACCCGCCGGACTTTCTCCCCGACCACCGTCTCCTCCATCCATCCACCCCTCCCTACGGCGGCATGCTTATGTTTAGCTCAGATTCCAACAGCAGCGCAACCACTGGTGGTACTACTCTACCCTCCGCCGCCGCCGGCAGCAGTCGGAGCCAATTAATTGCGTTCGACGGCGGCGCAAATGGCGGCTCGCCGTCGTCGTCGTCAGGTCGATGGCCACGGCAGGAAACTCTTACCCTTCTGGAGATCCGATCGAGGCTCGATTCCAAGTTCAAGGAGGCCAACCAGAAAGGTCCCTTGTGGGATCAAGTCTCAAGGTACAGATCACTGATTAATTCTTTTAACCTAACTAATTTACGAATTCAAAATTCCCAAATCAATCCACAGATTTTTAATTCAATTGGTTTATTAGGTCATTCCAAAGAGTGACTAATTATTTAATCAATGAAAGAGACAAGACCAGAAAACACACACACACACAAGATCCCAATTAATTAACACACTTGCCCTAATTTTTTCCCCTCTTCTCCAAATCTCCATAACGATTTTTCTTGGGAATTCCTAAATCCCCTCAAAATCAACTCAACATATATATATATATATATATATATATACACGCACACATACATGTGCTTGGGAAAGAGGGGAATGAATGTTTGGAATTAGATTTAATTTAATTTAATTTAATTTATCTTGCCCTTCCACTAGCCCTTTTCTTCAGACAGCTTTAATTTAAGGATGATGAAATGGAGAATCAGTGGGTTTTCTGTGTTGATTTCAGTGTGTTCAGCTTTCTATTTTACCACCTGTTTTCTTCTCGATGGTCAAACTATCTGAATTAAGAAAATGACAGAAGCTTAGTTCGAAGTCCAGTTTCAGATATCATCTGCAGGTAGGAATGCAACTCTACTTTGCATTCTGGATTTTTGCAATTACTTCTAAAGTCAAGACATCCATATCAATATTATTCAACAGTTTTTGCCCCTTCTTTGTTTGGATCTATTAAAAAATAAAAATAAAAATAAAAATCCAATCTTTAAACCAAAAAAAAATCAAGAAAGGAAGCATCGAGTAGTAACAGTTTCTTGATCCAATTAAGTTATTACGTGATTATTCGAAATTGGGGATTTTGTCTAGATTATTACAGACCCAATTAGGTTTGCTCATCGTTGGGGAATTAAATTAAACCAAATCCCATTACTACATGAAACTAGGGTTCTTCACTTGAGGTATTTTGATATTGTTGTAATTCAGGATAATGTCCGAGGAGAATGGATATCATAGGAGTGGCAAGAAATGCAGAGAGAAATTTGAGAATTTGTACAAATATTACAAAAAGACTAAAGAAGGCAAAGCTGGGAGGCAAGATGGTAAACACTACAGGTTCTTTACACAGCTCGAAGCTATCTATGGCAAACCTTATCGACATTCATCATCGCCTTCAATGCTCATCACTCCTCTGGGAGCAACTTTCCATTGTCAAATTCCTACAAACAACACTTCATCAAGAAATATCGAAGCCCTTCAAGGTTCGAAGCTTTCGGACACTAGCTTGAGCCACTCCAATTATTTGGATGCCGAAACTAGCTCTTCCGGCGACATTGATCCCAATGAAGGAATCGAAGATGGAGATGGAGACAATGATCCAAAGGGTAAGAAGATTAGGGGTTGGAAGGCGAAAATCCGGGCTTTCATCGACGCGCAAATGAAGGATGTGATGGATAAACAAGAGGCTTGGATGGAGAAAATGATGAGAACTATTGAAGAAAAGGAGCAAGAAAGAGTATTAAGAGAGGATGAATGGCGAAAACAAGATGTCGCAAGAATCGAGAGAGAGCGCGAACTTTGGAGCACCGAAAGAGCTTGGATCAAAGCCCGGGATTGGGCTCTAATAGAAGCTTTGCAAGAAATGACAGCGGGAAATGATCAGTCGAGAAATAGGGCTAGGGCTTCAGATTCGGGTGAGATCATGCCCGAAATTCGGGGTCTAAGTGAGAATCATCACAATGATTTTATCAACAATTTTCTACACAAGAAGATGATCGAATTTTGCTCGAAAGGCGGCGCATACCGTTCGATTCTTGAATCGATACCTACTCAAGGAGGATTGAACTCAAGCAACACAAGAGATCAAATAGGGTTTGATCATGATCATCCAACAAGGGTTTTCGAGCGCGATCGCAACTACGATTGTTCTGATTTGCCGCCTCCCGACGGCGACACCGGAGGTGGCGCCGCCGCCATCAGTGACCACTGCTTCAGGTACTTAATGGGTGATTGTTTTACAAGGATCTTAGATTGAAAATCAGATCAATTGGAGATATCCTATTCTCTATTTATGTTGAGTGTAATTTATGATAATAACATAAACATGGAGTCCAAGAAATTAAGAAGTGATGAAGCTAAGAAATTAGTTGTTGTGAATTGTGAGGTGAAGAAATTTGGTAGTTTATGATTTTGATTCAATGATAGATGAATTCATGTTGATGTTGTACTAATTATTTGATTATATTGTGTCTTATTTGGCCATTATTTTAGTGCACCACCATTTATCATATATAAGGTTTTTTTAGTTTTGGAGAATTTTGAGCATGGAAAACATTAACCACTCCTTTTATCCGCTTTTAAGGATTATATTTACTTTTTATGTATTTAATATTAAAAATATATTTATATTTGTATAATATTTTATACAAATGTCATTCTACTAGTATTATAAAACACTAAGACAAGTATTTTTACATTTTTCTCTTGATTTGTACTACGTTTTGATATAATAATTAATTAATATTCAAATATCAACACGCAAAAAGTAAATATAGCCTTTAGAGCCGGATGAAAATAGTATTTGACTCCCTCTGTCCACTTTGAAAATTTACATTTTACTTTTTGTGTCATTGTACAGACGTTATTTTATAAGTATTAAAGACACTAATAGAAATATTTTTGTCTATTTTTCTTGATTGCTACTATATTTTAATATGATAATTAATAGTCAAATATCAACATTAAAAAAAAAAAAAAAAAAAAGTAAAATGTAAACTTTCAAAGTGGCCTAAGAGAGTATAATTTTTTGTGAGAAAAAAAAAATATTTGATGTTTTTTAAAATAAATATATATATATATTCTTGATAAATAGTATCTAAATTTTTAGGTGTACATGTGAATAGAGCCTAGATTTTGATATGAAATGTTTGAGGTGTGTTTGTTTAAATTTTTTAGGTCTTGATTTGTGCTGTTTAATTTTCAGGAGAAACAGTTGTTAAATGTGATTATATATATATAGTATGTTTTTATTGGTATTCAGTAGATATGTTTTGAAATTTTTTAAATTTTAAATTATTTAAAAAATAAATCTAGTTGAAAGATATATTTGATATAATTTAATTTTTTAAAAAAACAATTTTTATTTATAATATTTTTTTGAAAAGAAATTTATATATATATATATATATAAAATATGTAAAGAGTTGAAAACATAAGCAAATAAATCCTTCATTTTCTTGTTCACATGATGTTTAATTAGAGCAAGTGATGCGAGCTTGTGTGCTTGTGTTTTGATGAATTTTAATGTACTTTGGAATAATAAAAATTTAAAATTATAATGACTATTTGATGTGAAATAATAATAAATAATTTTATGAGATATTTGTAATAAAAAAAAAAAAAATCGTTTTATTAATACAAGATATTAATTAAAAAATAAATATATGATGAAATATTTTTAAAAGTAAAAAATTAATTATTGTAAAATAAATAGTGAAAAAAAGGAAAAAAAAAAAAAATTGTGTATAATGTAGTGCCTTGGTACGAGTCATCAATTCCACTCCTATATACATTATAGGGTAATTCAAATTTTGTGTTAGTGTGTGTTTTTCTATGAATATGTTAATTTATAATTTTGGTAGAATGGACTTTAAAAGGAAAAATTTGGTAAAATTGTCATACTTCCTTAATAATTTCAAAATTCAGCGTAAATTTATCCCCTTATATTTTAAAAAATAGTGCATGAAACTCCCCTGCAAAAAATATAAATAAAAAATTATCTTCTCATAATACAAAAAAATATAAAAAGAGATTTCATGCAACGTGTTTTAAAGTATAAATGAACATGCAATTTTTAAAATACAAAAAAAATTACCTTAAAATTTCAAAACTATAAGAAAATTATCAACAGTTATTTTTTGAAAACTCTTCAATTTGTTAGCAGAGTAAAATTGTTATTTCTCATATTTCGAGGAAATTGAGAATGAGATAATTCTTTTTTTTTTAAATAATAATAATAATAATAATAATAATAATAACAATGCAACCATATTTTTTGCCCTTGAAGTAACATGCATTTTTTATCCTCTGCGTAACAATATCGCTACAAAAAAAAATACTCATTTATAAACTATGAAATTTTGGATATAAAAATATCAAAAAAATTGTCACATAATTTGCATGGATTACAATATATATATATATCCATAACTATTTATGTAGCAAAATTTGCAATAATTTTTTCCAATCAGCAATGTTGAAGCAAATTAGCCGAGAGATTAATTTTATGGCAAATTTGTCTTGCTTTTAATTACAAATATGAGATAAATAAAATAAATAATTAAATAAATATATATTTATATAAAATATTGTGATAAAATATTATTTTTTCTATCCCATATAAAATATTATCTTCTTTTTTTTTTCCGTCTGTTCACATTGTCCCTTTTTTTTAGAAAATAACTATATACTTTCATCATATTTTAAATTTTATAATTTATAATTTTTTAATCTTAATTAAATTATTGAATTATTTTAATATTAATTTATAATTACTTATATTATACAATAATTATTTTTACTTTATCAACCTCGAAAATTTAAACTAAATCCGATGATATTTTTACTTAGCCCCGGAGTTTGTCTCGAATTGGTACCCGAGACTAAAAACTCATTGTTGTATCAAAAAGTCTTGAAAATTCCGAGGCTATATATTTTGAATAACCTCGAAAAATCCGAAGATGTTTTTGAGTAGTTTCAGAATTTTTGAACCTATTTTTATAGCTTCTGAAATTTCGAAACTACTCAAAATAGCCTGAGAATTTTTTTTTAAATATTTTAAATTTTTTTTAAAAGATATAAATATATAATCAAAATGTCACCATTGTGTGCCGCCGAGGAGGAGGAGGAGTCGTCAAACAAGAATGTTAGAATATGTGAAACTGAAATTCTCTATTTCAATTATAAGAATACATACATATTTATAGTGATATACAAATCGTCTAAATAATGCAAGAATCCTACGAATATCTTAAATAAGATAACTACCATAAATATAATATATTGTTTCTAAATATATGTTAACACCCCATTCTACCTTCAGTGGCATCATCGTCTCAGTCATGCGTCCTCCAATAAACTCAGGTCTTTGATTAGTCAGGGTCGTTTGGGTTCTGTCAAGTTTGAGTCTTTTAATTATATGGATTGTTCGTTGGGAAAACAACATGCCTTATCATTTCCTCATAGTACTTCCGTTACGAATACACCGTTTTTATTAGTTCACTCGGATATTTTGGGACCTTCGCCCGCTGTGTCTATGAATGGTTCTCGTTATTTTGTGATTTTTATTGATGACTATTCTCGTTTTACATGGATTTACTTTCTGCGGCAGTGTTCTGAACTTCCATCTATTTATATGGACTTTGCCAAAATGATACATACCCAATTTTCCTCCACCATAAAAATTCTCCGCACAGATAATGCTCTTGAGTATACCGATTCATCCTTCCTCAGTTTCCTATCTGATCAGGGTACTGTTGTCCAACGCTCCTGCCCATACACATCTCCACAAAATGGTTGTGCCGAACGTAAACACCGACATATCCTCGATACAGTCCGCACCCTTCTCTTATCTGCCTCTTGTCCGGATCGTTTTTGGGGGGAAGCCGCACTCACTGCTGTCCACACTATAATCGTGTCCCTTCCTCTGTCATGGGTAATGTCAGTCCATTTGAAAGACTATTTAATCGTGCTCCTGATTATAGTCTTCTCCGCCCTTTCGGTTGTGTCAGTTTTGTCCTCCTCCCTCCTCATAAGTGCACTAAGTTAGAACCTCGCGCGCGTCTGTGTTGCTTCCTGGGATACGGGTTAGAGCACAAGGGTTATCGTTGTTGGGATCCCATTTCCAATAGGCTACGTATTTCTCGTCATGTCATATTCTGGGAGAATACTAAATTCTCTACCTTGTCCCACTTTCGAGTTCCCTTTGATCGTTCATCTCCGTTCTTTGCCTTGTCCTCTCCACCTCTATTCCCCTCCAATGACACGGTCTCGTCCCCCGCTCCTGACACTGTCCCGGTTGCGCCTCCTGAACCGACGCTGATCCCCGAGCCTACTCATACTCTCGACTTCGATACATCACCATCACCAGAGCCTGACACTACTTCAATCTCCGACCCTGATCCTGGCACTCGCCGTTCCACTCGGGTTAGTCACCTTCCTACACACTTACTTGATTATCACTGTTTCTTTGCCACCTTGTCCCACCATGAGCCCAGGTCCTTTCGTGAGGCGTATGCGGATCCGTTGTGGCGGCAGGCTATGTCTGAGGAGTTGCGGGCTTTGGCGAAAACCCATACGTGGGATATGGTTGATCTTACCCCTGGCAAGAAACCTATTGGCTGCAAGTGGGTATTCAGAATCAAAACTCACTCTGATGGATCCATCGAGCGCTACAAGGCGCGATTGGTAGCCAAAGGGTACACCCAGCAATATAGTATAGACTATGAGAAGACATTTGCCACGGTTGCTCGTCTCACCTTTGTCCGATGTCTTATCGCTGTCGCTGCCGCTCGTCGGTGGCCCCTGCACCAGCTCGATGTCAAGAATGCGTTCTTGCATGGCGATTTATCCGAGGACATCTATATGTCTCATCCTCCTGGTTTTCCTACCTCTTCCAAGGTATGTAAACTTCGTCGTGCCCTATATGGTTTGAAACAGGCACCTCGAGCTTGGTTTTCGAAATTTAGCTCTGATACCATGTTAGAATATGAAACTGAAATTCTCTATTTCAATCATAAGAATATGTACATATTTATAGTGATATACAAATCGTCTAAATAATGCAAGAATCCTACGAATATCTTAAATAAGATAACTACCATAAATATAATATATTGTTTCTAAATACATGTTAACAAAAAACAAGAAGAAAAAGAAAGATGAAGAGGGGTGCCGCCGGTGGAGAAAGAAGAGGAGGAGAAGACTCCGCCGCTGCCACTGTTGACGCTGCCGCTGCCGGAGAAGAAGAAAAAGATGAAAGAGGACAGGTTGACGCCGCCACCGCCTCCGAAGAAGGAGGAGGATGAGGTTCCTCCGGGCCACTGCCGCTGTGTGGGAGAAGAAGAAAGAAAGAAGAGTGCCCCCGCCACCAGAGAGAAAGAAGGATGAGGCTCTGACGCCTTCACCGCTGGAGAAGAAAAAGAAGAAAGAAGACGGGTTGTCGCTGCCGCCTCTGGAGAAAAAT